CCCACTGCTCCATGCCTCAGGCGCCTCCTGGTGGCCAACCAGCCTCCCTGATCCCTGCTTTGAGTCTGAACCCTGCCCACGGTCCTCCACATCCTCCATGGCAGACTCATATGGTTCCTCGCTATCCAAGTTCATCAACAGCTCAACCGGATCCTGCTGCGTCACAACACCAAGGTATCTTGATAAGCAAGGAAGTGGATCTTCTTGGCAATGCATTGGTCCTTGTGCTTGTTGGGATATTGGTTTTCTGGGCAAGAATCACAGTGAGCTGCATCTAAAATGAAGAAATATTTCAGGGGCATCCACAGTGAGCATTATCAAGCCTGCACAAGTTAAACCTCTAAATTGAAATGATTCTTGGCTCCATTGTTTCCAAAGTGTAGTTTTATTAGAAGTCATGCTTATTGCAGTAACATAGAGCCAGAACTTTGAATAGTGCACCAAAACCCATATGTTCAACTCTTCCCTCCCTTAAATGTCTCCCATTGGCCATCATGTTCAGGCACGAAGTTTTCATAATGGTCAGCCTAAGCATAATTTGGTATGTAGCTCTCTTCTTTTTCCAATATCAACATTTGAAGTATGCTTTACTTGTCTGATTACAAATGGTCCCTTCTGGACAAGGGTCACATTTGTAGCAGCAAACCTGTTCACCCTCTGGGACACTCCTCTTCTCTCCTGCATAGCATCTCATCCTGCCACACCTGGCAAAGGGCACCTTCTAAAAAAAGAAGAAGAGAGAAAAGATGTCCTGAGCCATGAACATTTATTTATTTCCACATTTCTGTTTCCGTTTTCAGAAGAAATGGCTGACCATGGTCTACCAAAAAACAGCTCCTGTCTAATTTAGGTCAGCAATACTCCCGATTCATCAATGGATGCTGGAGATTGGAGCTGGGACGTCAGCAGTCAAAGCAAGGTTTGTATGATTACACCATAGCTTTTCTAAAACAAGTAAAGAGTATAGAGTCCCTCGGGAGTGGGGCAGCATACAAATTAAGTAAATATTCCAAACATTCCAGTATAGAACTGAAGTATAGAACTGAACAAAAATCATTGTTGTCTGCTCTAATTTCCTCTTGGGTTCCAATCCCACCTCTTCTTGGACCTGCCTCACCAGTCCTCAAATGTATAACATGTAAAGTAGGATTTTCATCAAGTAACTGCATACTTTCTGATTCAATAACCTGTTTTATAGTTGGACGTCTGCATTCCCAAAACATACATACATACATACATACATACATACATACATACATACATACATACATACATACATACACACACATACATATACATATACATATACATATACACATATACATACATACATACATACATACATACATACATACATACATACATACATACATACATACATACATACATACATATATATATATATACATACATA